TGACTGAGTAAAGTGAACTTGTTATAGACTGAAGCAGTACACTGATTTATACGTGTAGACTTAACACAAGAAATAAGCAGGATTAAATATTTACCATCTAAAAGGAGCCAGAATTTTTTTTCTTTTTCTTTTTTTTGGAGTGTGTGATCTCAGACAGGGGCACTCTGTGTGAAGTAAAGCCTTATTTGTTTTGCATTCAGTATTATTTTCCAAAGCTTAAGTTGTCATTAATGTTCCTCAGCTTTGTGTGTAAGGATGCACTCAATGAACCGAGTATGTGTGTGCGTCTTGTCTGCTATTATACAAAGTCAGAGCAAAGCCAACCATTGCCAAATACATGAAAAAAGACACTCTGCCTTTAACAATATTTGCTTTGTTCACATTATAGACAGCAGGACAACAGACACCAGTCACTAGTGTCCAACGTAACTTCACATACTTAGCTTAAAATCTGAGATAACAGTAAATGAGTTGTTTTAGCCGAAATATGAGAACTGCATGTCCAGACAACCCGAGTTCTGCAATAGAGCAATAGAGCAGCAACACATCGGCCGAGGGTGAGGTAGAAACAACACTAGCAGGACAGACAACCACAGAATTCTTCTTCTTTAAATCCAAAATCTGAATCAAGCTTATAGCTCTCATGCAGAGGATTATGCTTTAAATATAAAGATAAGAACATGTTTTTAGACAGTTTGGCCTACAAGGCAATCACTGGTGGAGGATTGCTGTCAGGAGAAGCTTCCTTTTTCACCTCCGAACAGCTGGTGAATCTCAGCAAATTAAAGGCTAACGGTCAACACAGACCCATTTGATGTCAGCAAGACTTATGGGAAAGGGAATTTTTAAAGATATTTGATCATCCAGCAAGCTGTTCTGAGGAAGCATATGCTGGAGGCACACATCTTAATCCACCTATCCTAATCTTCTACTCAACTCAGCAAAACACGAACGGGACGGTTCTCTTGGCATGTCAGGACAGCGCACGTGTACACTTAAAAATTGAGTTGGTTTGTTTACACAGCATGAGCAGTGACACATTGTGCTTCACTGAGTCTTATTCCGGGTGCTCTCATCTAATCCTTCACACATCTGGTGCACGGAGACCAAGCATGTCTGGGCTAGAAAGGTCCACCTTGCTGTGGGAAAGAAAAAAAGCACTCGAGTGGAGAGCACACTGGGTTCAGTTCACGTCCACACCCGGGCCGCGCTCACCTGGTTTGATTGAGCGCTGCACAGAGGAAAGAAGGACGCACACATGAGGTGGAGAGGGAAGCCAGCACATGGAAGCAATTATTGCCTCTTCCTGGTGTGCAGTCTGGCCCAGCAGATACGAGCACAGGGCGAACACGTGTGTTTGGGTACATGACAGGTAGAAAGAAAACAAATTCTGCTCGCACACAAAAGAGCTTCTTTCACTCACCCTGTTCCACATCGAACGCTTGTCACATTTCAGGCTTATTAGACAAATTGCTTCTATTTGCTCAAGAGTGACAGGAAGAATGGAAAAATGCATAAAACTCAAAACAAAAACGTTGCCGTCAATGCATTCATCGTGCCTACTGAATGCCAAATTACATCTGAAGAGAGACGCAGCGACTCCCTTCTACAAACACTCAGTGTAGCAAATATCAAATATTGGAGATGAATGTGTTTATTCCACATGAGTGTAACTATTTAAGCCCACACAATGCAAACAGAAAAAAGGGTTTTTCATTTTTTCATTCCTGTGTGGGAGTGTTCACGGTCCGGTAAGCTGTGTGTGGTTATGTGTCTGCTATTTGACTACGTCATTGTGTTCTGTGGAATTATAACCTACTGTCCCTCATTATGAGTGGCGCACGAGGGGGAAGTGGGCCACATGTGGTAAAGCGATGTTACTTGAGATGGAGGCTCAAATTAGTGACCTTGTTTTAAAGTTAAGGCGCAAACGCCGTGCCAGTTCAACTGGATTCTTTTGTTGTGTCCAAACTCTTCGAAACTGGACTCTCTATTTCCTGTCTAGCTGTATAGGAGGAGGATATAATGGATTTCCCAGAAAGACAGATGTCTGATCTCTGAAGTGTGGTCCAGGAAATGAACAGATTTCTCCCATATTCTGTCTGGGCCTCAGTCTCCTCTCACTTCAAGAACAGGATTTGGATTTTCTTTCGTAACACCAAAAGCTCAAAGTCATATCTATAACCCTATTCAACATAAATCTCATTGTCTAGTAATATCTTTAAAGAAACAATGTGGGGAAAATGGTGATTTTTATTTTACTTTTTTGATAGTAGTTGTAATTGTTACCATCTTGAGGGAGGATATTACAGGGCTGGCAGATCTTAACGCAGTCCTGTCCTATAAAGAAGCCATGGAGGATCACACCAAAATAGGATGAAGCTGTGTGGGAACACGGTGATTTACAACAGCCAGTGCCACCTGTGGCTGCTTGTTTGTCCAAATAACAAGATAAACGGCTTAGGGGGTTGAACTAGGGACAATCCACAGGACTAAATTAACAGTCTAAAGAACAGTTCAGGTGTGCCACTCCTCTGATTTTCTTCTTTTCACAGAGTTTTGTATCGTTTGATGTCATCTGACAAGGCAAGAAACAATTATGTGGGTTGCAAAGGAGCCAATAGTTTAGAAGCCTTATCTAAATCTCTCCCACCCTGAGGGACATGCTCTTGGTCAGTCACCCACATAGGTTCATACAGACATTATCCACATAATAAGATTTTGTGCAGACATGGATGTATTTTGTGTTACTTTGTGTTAGAGTATTTCACCTTTTTACTCTACTGCATTTTGTTTACTTTAATTTCAGATTAAAATATAGACCTCCTGGTTGCTGAGCTAAAGCCAGGAGGTTATCGGAGAGAATCTGCCATGTGTTTTCTCCATCTTCTCTCCAGTGTCCTGTCTCAAAAAAGAACCCCCCCAAAACAGAAACCTACCAATAAAATACATCAAACTGTGTAATCTGTTTAAGATTTTACTGATCTTATGAGTAGAAGAGATAAAGAAGGCACCGTGATGGAAGAACAGGAAGAAACAGATTCTGGATGCATCCAATCTTCAGAAGAAGACCTCAGCAGGGAGAATCTGATTGTGTGATCCAGCAGTCGGAGCTGTATCACAGCAGCTTTATATATATTTCAGGATGTCAGTGGGGGCAGTTTGAACTCTTGTTAGGAGAGTTGGGACCAAATCTGAGGAGGCAGTTTGTCTGAGGTATTGCACCAGTTCCACTAGTATTTCACTTGTTGCCAAATCCAGCGATTGGACTCTTAGATCTGGTTATTTTGATTCAAAATATAGGAAAACTTGGGCTTGGTTAAAAAAAAAAGTCACAAATTCGTCAGATGAAATTACATGGTCACTGTTAAAAGCTGCAATTAGAATAGGTGAAAAATATTTTTGACCCAAGTAATATTAGCTGATTTTACGTGTCTGGTGAGTAAAGGCTTTTAGGGTTTGTGTGACCACTTAGACCTCAGGGTGACACAGCTATGGCAGCATAGTGACCACGCCCCTAATAATGCTAAATTTAGACCTTAATACAATTTAGAGAACTGTAATAGGAACAATTCGATCCTTCTACAGTTGTCATGAAGGAAAGTATCAGCTCTACAGACTGAACAGTTTTGGTGCACATTTGACTTACCTTTTGAGGTTGTTGCTTTGTTGTTGCTTGAGCGGTGATTTGGTTACATTCACGATGCACGTGGCACTAAGAAATAGCCTTCAACCACTGGGAGCCTTTGCAAGCTCTATTATAATGGTTTTTTGCATGAATAATTTCAGCCCAGAATTATAATTTGCTGTTGTGAAATGAGCTCTTTTCATAGTTATATTATTACTTGCTGCTAATGTATTAAGTACAGCTCGTTTCATTTACCACGACGGATAGAACAAAAATTTCAACTTGCTTTTCTATTTATACAAGCTCCAACACACTTGAATTACTATGCTGTGTGACAAATTCATTTATGTCAAAAATGATGAATGGGCATTTCCGGAGCACGTGCATTCACCTCGTTCATGAACTAAGCATTTCCTTTTGCGCTGTTGAGTAAAACTGGTGCCAAAACATGCACCAGTAACTACCCATAGATTGCTTGGGCGTGTTATGTGTTGGGGTCTGTGAATGGAAACCAGGTGCTCTTGTGCTCTGCCAAAGCAGGCCTGTTGATGCATCGTCAGCTTGGTGTGTCTAGAAGTTGCTTGCTGTGCTCATTAGCGCAGCAGGACCCCTCACATCAAACGCTCTGCTAATGGCTGATAAAGTAATTGTGCTTGGTCAGGCTGGACAGACAACAAATGGGGCACGTTTATGTCCAAGGCAACCGTGCAAAACCCTGGTGGCTTCTCAGTCCCAGCCCCACCCCACCATTCAAAATCCAAGCCAGCTATTTTTACGACATGTTAAGAGGAAACAGCTTTTTAGTATATGGGAAGGCAATAAAATGTCAAATCCTAGATTCAAGTCAAAGCAGCAACTTGTTAAAAAATATAGGGAAGAGGGTGACTTATGTGAGGTAAGAATGACAAAGGCAGATGTCATAAGGCTCCTGGAAGGTTTCGGTTAGACAAGAGAAAGAGTGCTCACAGGGGAACAATGTGCTTAAGGAGCACTGGTGGCATACACACCAAAGAGCTCATCAGGACAAACAAACAAAGTCATTAGCAGTGATTTACCTCATATGAAAACAGGAATCAATTTTAAACAGATGCTGCGGTTCATTTGCAGGTTGTTAACATCACAGTAGGTTTTAAAAGTCTTTTTGTTGTTGTTGCTGCTGCTGTTGTCTCTGCATGCCTGCAAATAATCTCCAGACTACCAAAGCATAGAAACGTACACATACAGTGGCCAACGCTTACTTCAGCACATCTCTGTGCTTTGCTGGCTAAAAATTCTTCACTTTCCCCACATGTATTAGAAAAGACGAGCATGTGTACAATACATGCTGTCAGGGTGAGAGCAGAGGAGAGGAATAAAAGACCCGAGAGACACATTAAGGTTTGGAGGAGTGAAGTTTAATGGGATCGTGATTGCCTTTGTCGGAGGTCAAATATTTAATGGGTTTACGGGACAAAAAGCACAACCAGAGCCTCTCCTACATTCACTCAGCCAACTAGAAGTCCCTACATTAGATTCACCATCAGGCCGACCAAAAAAAAAGGAAAGAGCTAAGAACCGCTTTAAGCAGCTCAGTCTTACAGAGGATCATTACTTCTGACAAATGACAGACATTTTGCTTTTTCAGAGGTTGGGTGAATGGGTATCGCACATTATCCTTTTCATTTTGTTGGAACACACCGTTCCCAACAAACAGTTTTCATCTCCTCCCATCAAAGGGATTTATTATTCTAGCTGAGTAGAATTCTCTTTCCCTCTCTTCTTTTGTGTCAGGAAAACTACCCCCCCTCTGATTACACTCCCGATTAGCTGGTTGAGATCAGTGTTACTTTGCGGGAGAGTAAAAGTGACCTCAGTCTGACTCACTGGTCAGCAGCCATCTGCTCCCAGGGCCCTATGAAATGCACAGACAACAAAGAGGCTGACAGAAAAGACAGAGTACTGCTGGATAGATAGAGAGACAGGTACAGACAGGCAAGGTCCTATTTTAGCCCCATGACAAAGAAAGGAGGCAAATTAGTGCATTAGAGAGGGTGGACTTTGACCTTATTGGCCACACTGTTAGCAAATAGGGGCACTGGCGTATAGTTGCTGTCACAGTGTACTGGTGGTGGATGCAGCCAATCGCTTTCCTATGTAGATCCTAAAAAGGAAAAAAACAAACAAAAAAAAAACAGGAATCAATGATTGATCCTTTGCTATAGCCCTTGGACCCCAGTCACACAGGCGGGGAGACTGTTAATCAAGCACTTCGCAACTGCTGATCATGAGGATAAAATATGTATTCCCCAACATGTTGGAAAGTGATTGGGGGAAGTTGCAGAATACTGCTAGGTAAATTTGGTTGCAAAGAGAAAACCTCCCTGTGATTGCTTTGGTTGCTAACATATTTTATTTTGCATGTATGATGCCGACTTATCTGCAAACATTTGCTAACTAACCAATCAGTAACAGTGGAACTGCAAAAACTGTGACAGAAAGGGACAGAAACCCTTTAAAATACAAAAAAAAATGTGCCTTTTGAAACATTTTGGTTTCAGCAAAAGGGAAAAATGGTTCTTTGAAAGTTATTTGTTTCCAGTTTGCATCACATTGTTTCAGTGTGTGCAGACAAATCAGCATCTTCCATGCAAACTACAGGAGACCATGGTAATCTGCTAGCAACCAAAGCAATCACAGAAAGGTTTTGGTGCAGCATCTTCTTTGTGACTAAATTTTCCTAGTAACTCACAAACCAACCGGCTGTAGTATACGGATTTTTTGACACCCGATGTATCAAATAAGTGAAGGCTATAACTCAGAAACTAAGGGCACTGCATTATCATAAGGTAGCAACTTGTCAGGGAAAAGGTAGACCCTCCCTACCGTTAACTTGTCTCAAGCTTGTTTTTCTTACATCTATAGCTTCAGCTGCACATCAGCAACATCATTTTAAAACCACTTAGAAGGGCACACAGGGGTCAACTCTTTGATCGCTTTCTTAATTTGCACACTTTCCAAACTCTACCAGGATGAAAAGCATCCAGTTATTTTTTCCCCAAGTACTACCAAGAATGTCAAGTTTATGTGAATGAATCTCACCCGACTCCAAGCGTGAGAAGGTGTGAAGCCAGCAGCGAGGGAACAAGAATGAGGAGAACATCGGAGGAGAAGATGCCTCTCTTCATCACCTCTGTCTTTCTGACACTGAGGGAGCTCTGCTGCTTTGGGTGCTGAAACACAAACTCTCTGCAGAGAAGGAAGAGAGAGGCGTCGGAGATAAGAGATGCGGAAGCACGGAGATTGAAAGGCGGGGGGAAAAAAATAAAAATAAACAGAGATAATGAGAGCACAAGAGAGAAGCCTGAGAATACAAGAAAGAAACCGAGAGCCTGAGAACTGCTACCTGTCAAACAGGCTTATTTTATTGCAGGAGATTAAATGTCAAGTGCGGCAGCATAAATAAAAATGAAAGCGATTCATGGGCTTCAAAGGTATAATCCAACTAAATTAAAAAAACAAAAAAAGACAAAAACAATGTGCTATTGAATGTTTTGTGAGTAAAGCAGGCTTTTTATAAACACACAAACAAACCAAAACAAACAAACAAAAAGCTTATTTTTGTTTACTTATACTTGTATGCATATTTAGAGGGCATACTGCCAGGGTGACGTCATGAATCTTGGCTGGTTCGTGTTACAATTCATTTTTTCTAAAATGTATTATTTTTTTAAACTAGAAAGAATCTTTTAATTATGTACCTCTGGAGGCGCGGGCCTCGAGTCACCTGCTGTCAGTCTTTAAGCCAAACTAAGCTACTTGCCTGCTGGAGTAAATCATCACAGCAGGAATAAATAACAGTAACATTCAAAGGAGCTAGGCTTACTTCGGTGGCATGTTTTCAGGTCTACTGGACCAATCCCACACCCAGTCAGTGTCCACCCGTCGCTCACCTTCCTCCTGAACGCAACAAGAATCAGATGATGTTGAATAATTGTAAAAAAGTATATATTTTTTTGATGTCTTTATCTGATAAATATTAACCATGTCTCTGTGTTCAAATGAAAACCAGCACCTGTATAGTGACACAGTCACTGTCGTGCTCACTGGTGGGTCTTGGTGAGCCGGTGGACTGTGGAGTCGTGGCCTGTGGAGGACTGTGGATTAAAAACAAACAAACAAGTGAACTTGTACGAGGTGGGTGCGGTCTGGAGAAACAATCAAGCTGCAGCGTGATAATTTTACAGCCCAACAAACAAGAACAGAAAAAGTAAACACGCCGTGGAAAACAAGCAAAGTTCCTCTGAGCACAAAACAAACCTCATTACTGTGCAAATCACTTCTACACCTCACTGTGCAGCTCGCCCGCCCCAGACTCCCCAAACAAAACAAGTTCGTGCTAACAAACTGCATCATTACCTGTCTCTACTCCGCTCGCACTCCAGCTGTGCCTCCAGGAGGATCCTCTCCAGCTCCCCCTGCAGGGCGGTGGAAACGCTGTCCTGCGGCCCTGTCAGGCTCTCTCTGCGGCTCACGGCTGCAATCAGCTCCTCCAGCTCGACCCAGGAGCCTGACAAGGAAAAAGGAGGGCAAGCTGAGTTTGTGCTGACGCTTAGGTGTCGGTAAGAAGGGGAAAAAAACAATGCTTCTCAGTACACCTATATTAGATTTCTAATAAGCCAAGAAGGAGTCATGATGTGGAAAGTACAAACAGAAGCCATTTTATGGAGCTTTTACCATTTATGGGCATTTTGTTGTCTTGTTTATAATCTTACTATAATTACAACTGTACATATTTCATTTTGAAGTCTGTGTGATCCCAGAAAGGTCCAAAGTAACCGTGTTGTGCATAGTTTTACATGTGAAAAACTCATTTTTAATGTTCTACGCAATGATGCAGTTAGCCCACACTTTCTCCTGATTCTTTTATTTATACTTGCCATTAACGTGACTTAAGTTATTTGATTACCCAACTATATTATGCAGATTACTTCAGCTTTATTGTCATAATGACATATTCAGATTCTTTTTACTGCCAAGTAACTGATCCTAACCTGGTTCCGAAACATTGTCAGAGCAAATTTCACACTGCATTACTGATGCACGTTTTTAGGTCCTTCCTAGAACTCTAATCTCTTTAGCGCCGAGTGGGCAGTGAATGGACAGGTGTGTGTTGTTGTCCACTGGCATGTGGAGATTTAGAAGCTGCCCTGCAGCTGTCCTGACATGACACGCAATGACCTCAGAATCACAGAGCTCGTGGCTGGATGGAGACACGCTGAGCCGCGTCCAAAAAACACACATATTATCATATATAAACAGTGAGAGCGAGACAGAGTGTGCCTGCTTCTTCCCATCAATGAGTGCTGAAAAGATAAACTGCATATGAATGAATGGACACGGGGGTGGGGTTTGGTGACAGGGCACAGGAGCAGAAAGGGATTTACACATGCACACATATACACACATGCATGCTGGCATGTTGTATGGTGTGCGCGCTCCCACAGCTAAACAGTGGGGCAGGGCTAACTCAGCCTGACAGCATGCTTGCTTACGCAAGAACTTATTTCTGTGAGAGATTAGCCATTCACCCTCTCCCTTCCTCTAGCTGTTTCTCCCTTGTCATGCTGCCCCACATCTCTCGGACAGAGGCAGCACTTACGAAACAGCTCCCCTCATTTACCTACCAAAGTATCCTTCCTCATCTGACCTCTCTGACTGTCACTTTACCTGGTTTATGACGCTTTATAACAAGAGGCGGTGGAAGCATGAGCGGGCACAGTGCTGAAGGGGGTGGAAGCAAGGGATGGGGGGAAGGGAGGGCAGAGGAAACTGTGCCATTGCCCTAGTTATTTTCCTACAGAGGGGAGTTATGACGTAACAGCTGCCTTGTTGGCTGCCTTATCTATGTGATGCCACTCTGCAGCACTAAATCAGTTTCTATGGCGCAGTCCTGTACACATTCATCTGTGCCGCTGCCAAATCAGCTTTATGTAATGTGGAGCCAGGATGTGAAAAGACTCAATGAACTGCAGCACAACAGATTAATTTGTGCTCTGCTAGGATGAGAATGACTGTTTCCATTTTAGGGCCAAGAAAAAGAAACAAAAATTAGGGTGTGAGGTGCAGTTTGAAAGAATGGCTGCAGGGCAATCAGATTATTTTTGGACAGCACGGGAGATTCAGATTTTGTTTGTCTTTCTAGAATTGAATATAAAGTTACCTTTAAAGCAGCTGTGTCCTATTCATGTGGATGTAAAAATAAAAAAAAGATAAATAAAATATGAAAATATGGTTGCATTTATATTTTTAATGTATTGATACAGACAATAATTGTGATTCTTTTTACATTTAAAAAGGCTGTGATAGAAACGGGCATGGAAACCCTGAAATAAAGTGGGGAAAAAGAAGATCAATACCTAGCTAGCTAACTATTAATGAAATATAACACTTTTCTACCCTAATCGAGTACTCAAAATGCTTTTTTACTAGAACCAATCACACACACATTCATACAAGCACTTTTACATATCTATGCACCTTGTTTAAAATTGACACACACTCACAGTCCAATGGATTCATTGTGGACAACTCATCAACATGCGGACTCAAGTAGTCAGGGATCGAACCACCAAGCTTCCAATTGGTAGACAACCCACTCTACCTTCCCTGTTAGCAACAAATGTGAGGGAAATCTGTTTATGTTTTGTGTGTGTGAAAGTAAAAAAAATGCTGGTGGATATATTGGATTATTGGATTTTGAAATTACCATCTGATAGTTTCTTGTTTAGCAAGAAACTATCAGATGACATATCAGCGATGGGTTTTCAGTTTTGGGCTGAAATCAAATATTTGTCAAACTCATCTTTTATTATTTATTTATTTATTTATTTAGTAAACAACCTGCACATCAGTGATTTCCACTGTACAGCTCCCAATTACAGTGATCCACATGTTTTACCCAGCATCCTCTGTTCCAAGCAATGTGCAGCCAGCTAAGTGGAGCTATAAGTATCAGAAAATCTCCGCAGCTTAATTGGCTTACAGAGATACAAACAGGTGAGTCAGGGAATCCATTTACACAATGACAGTAGCAACGACAATGACAACTATAAAACTGCCTGTGCCTTGTTTCCGTCTGTGGCCTCTTCTCACACCTGCTCTCAGAGTCTGACAGGCTGTTAGTATCTTGTCTCCATTGATAAGCAGCCACGGCTGGCTAGCTCTTCATTCAAACACACTGAGGGAATGAATGTTCTCATTGCCTGAAATGTTTTGCCCACACACTGTTGACATTTGCATCGTGAAATTGGAGTATAAATCGACCCGTGCGCACGCAAAATTAATTTACAGCCTGTTTAAGGTATGCAACAATCGGCTACAGACACGCTATTAAAAGGCAAATAGTTAACAGTGATGACGTAACAAAGAAACAACGGCCTGGTCCATGTGCCACCATCACTCACCGTAGAGTCCGTCCTCTGGCGTCTGCGAGCCGGACAGAGACATGTTTGAACGCTGGGGAGAGGCTGGAGAAAGAGCTCGGAGAGATGCTGACACTGACCCAGGAGGACAAGCAGGTGCAAAACCGGTCTCTACCCTGTACACGTTACCCTCAGTCACTCTGCGTTGTTGTGTAGTCTAAAAATGACACCGGGCACCGACGCAGCGCTAATCCGCTCCCCGTGCCCTCCCTTCCCCGCGCGCACCCCCTCCCTCTCCACTTTCCCACGTGTCAAGAAGGAAGAGGTAAACAAACAGACTGTGCAGCTTAACATCACACATAGATGGATAGATAGTCCTGAGCACCTATTCAAATTGCACCCACCATTCACACCATTAATGATCTGTTAAGAGCAGTTACTAGGTAATTAGTATCTATACCGACGCTGGTGTGGGTACTGGATCGATACTACAAGATAAGATTGATACTTTGTTTCTATCCTCTAGGTTCAGTATGTAGCCCACTGAATTGGATTAAATTAATTCTTTTTTTTGGAAATGAAAAAAATATACCTCAAACATGCGCTGTAAAGAAAATGTCTGAAACTTTTGTGTACATCTAGTTTATGTATTGCCAACACAAGTATTTAAACAACAGAAGTTGACCCACAATCCTAATATATAAAATAATAATAATCTTCTCATAACTTGTGCCCCATTACTCTGCTCTGCATAAGTTGAACTATTGTTAGCATTGGCATGGCTATTGTTGTGTATTTATTGGTATCTGATCAATACCAACATTTGCAATATCGTACAGCACTAGCAATTATTTACAGGGAGAATGAACAAAAGTAAAACATTTTATGTGTTAATGACTGTAAAACAACAAATATGATATTGGCCTTGAGCACAGTGTGGGTAATAGTAAAGAGCCACTGGGTGATCACTGTGTGCAAGAGTCACTAAACTCTGATCGATACTGTAGGAGGAGTAGCAGGTCTTGTAAACTGTGGACAGATGGACGTGGATGCAACATTGTATCAACTCAATGGGCCACAATGAGCTGAAAGCCCAAGACCGCAGTCTGTTATGTTAACACAAAGCAAGTAGTGATTGACCTCTGGAATCAAAGTGCTTGAATAAATACTTAAACTGATGGCGATGCCAATCAACCAGCCAACACTTGATTGTAAATGGGCAGAGGTCAACAGTCTAGTATCGTTACAGGTGGAAATTCTACCCATGTTGGCTTTGTTGTAAATTTTAAAGATTAATGGAGCAAATGACTTTCTAGAGGGACTAAATACTGAAAGTAATGCATTACATTTTCTAAAAGTACTTTGTAGTAGATTTTTATCAACACTTAGATACAGAAATACAGTGAAAAAGTGTTAGCCCCCTTCATGTTTTCTTTATGTATATTTGTTCCAATTACATTTTTCATTTTTTTATTATTAGACAAAGTTAACTAGCAGTGTCTCCATTAGCAGTGTATTTAGAGTTAGATAGTACTTGACAGCATCTTGGATGCCACGGTTTTTCTGTGGATTACTTCTGCCTCTTCATGTAAGCCCACAGTGACTTCACGATGCCCAAAACGGACTCCGGGGGGTGATTCCATCTGTTGCAAAACTCCTTGCTCTTCTTGTGGCTTAAATTCAGTCTCTGTCTGTATATTTGCACTCATTTATGGGACACTTTAGCTATTGTGATGGATAAAGGTCTAAACTTTTGCACAGCACCTCATTTCAGTAAGCTGAATTGTAGGCCTGTTCTTCATGTCAGCGTGTCATGCTTTGAGACTCTCTCAAAGCAAATACTTTTAATTATTGTTTTACTTTGTAAAAGATGATTAAGTATAATTTTCTTGGTTCTGGGAACAGGCTCTTACATTCCTCTGGAGATTTATATTTATATCACCTTAATTCTGCACGAGAGCAGTTTATTTGTTTGATTCATGGATGGATTATAGGACAATGGGCCAATTGGCACAGACATGCAAAGGCGTTTCCTTTCTTCCTTCCCACGCGTACAGATATGCATCATTTGTAGGCATTTTGTAAATCTTTTAGTATTTTGCATTAAGTGCTGCTGTTGGTTTAAAAAAATCCGCTTACTCAGCCATTATAATAATGCAGATTTTTAATGAGAGCGTACTGCATTGTAGGAAATGACTGGAATTTATATAGTGCTTTTATATTCTTACTGACCAAGTGGTTTAGACTACAGGTCACAATGCTTTCTTCTTTACGCTGTAAGCACTTTATTTACATTGCATCCACACTCCATTTAGAATCAACAATTACTGCGTGTAGAAACTGTACAAAGGCCGCAGCCAGGGTTTGAACCAGGAGCTTTCTTGCTGTTTGGCAGATGTGAATGACAAACAGCATGAAGAGTGAGTGGACATCCTTAATTTTCACAGAGCTCTTTGAATTTACAATGGGTTATAGGTTATTTCATTTTAAGGGGACACTATCCTTCTTATTTATTCTCTTTTATTTTTTTCATCATTTCTTCCTTTCTATTAAAATAATCCAGGCTATTGATATGTTTTATCCATTTGTTCTTTTCTTGCACCCACAGTTAGTGGTAGAGAAGACCTCAGGGCTTTGAAATGTGTGATAGATGTGATGGTGTCTGAGTTGTAGTTATTTGCTCCTCTGACTCTTCATTGTAGTTTTCTATACTCTAATTTGCCCAGTGTGTGCCAATGAAGTCAGCTTCTGATCAGTTTACCTCTGTGGTTACTACAGATACTTTAGATCTTTAGCAACGTAATCATGTATGTATGTAATCATGCGATTCTGCGAATAAAACGAATAAAAACTACATACATTTTTACTGCTACCAGAGGAATTAAGAGCGTGCTGCAAATCAAATGCAGTTGCTTAATTGATCATCATCATGTGTGAGGACCTCTATCAAAACAGACGCTTTGGCCACTCTGTAGTGTTCAGGTGTGTGTTGACAAAATGCCACAGTCTTCCCCGGAGTGAACATCGCAGCAAATTCATCCCAAGGTCAGACTGAAATGCTCAGAGACTCCTCAAAAAACCCAAGAGCTACATCTCAAACTCTACAGGCCCCAGTTAGAAGAAGACTGAACAAGTACGGCTTGTATGGAGGGGTTATCAGGAGAAAGCCTCTTTAAAAACAAACAAACATGGTGGCACAGCTCAGATTTGAAAAGCTGCATCTAAACAAACCACAAGACTTCTGGAAAAATGTCCTTTGGACAGATGAGACCCAACTGGAGATGGAGATGTTTAGCCATAATGCACAGTGCCAAACCAGACAAAGCATTTTAGCACAAACACGTCATAATACATATCAAGCACAGTGGTGGAGAAATGATGATTGGGGATTGTTTCTCTACAAAGTATTTAAGAGTCAAAGAATGTCTGAAAAAGAACAGAACCTAAAGGTTTGTCTACAAGCTACTGAATCATGTGGTGTACTTACTTTTTACAGGGCTGTAGTATACAATAAAGCATTAAATGACTCTTTGTCTCCTCTAAATCCCAGAGCCGTCATAGCTACATAGTCTTTACAACCCAAAAGTGTATCTTGGCTATTTAATCAGACTACTCTGAAGCAGGCAGTCTCCTCCACTGCACTGAATGAACTCAGACTGTGCAAACAGTCTAAATATGCCCCCACTGCTTGTGAAAAATGACACACAAACCTGTTTTGGTTTGAGTCTGGAACGATGCAAGTCTGTGGACTAAGGTTTTATGGATTATGCTTATTTTTTTTGTCAGGGATTGTGTGCGAAAAATACGAGGAGGAAGACATGACAGCATCTGCCATCAAACCAGCATCTTTCAGACAGCTAGTCCACTTTTATAATCTCCAAGCTACAACAACAGCAACCCCATAAAGTGCCCACCTGTTATTTCCACAAGCCCAAAAATAATACTGCAGGCTAAAGGCAACAGAGAGAATGCTGGGAAACAATAAGATCTGCCTTTGTTTCTAACTAATGATAGAGTACATGAAAGTAATGGCACACGCACACACTTTTAAAATATGTATCTTTGATTTGTGTTACAGCTTTCACATTTCAGCCTAAGGAGGCTCATGCAAAATGTCTGCTGTTTGATATTATCTATAACCAAACTAAAATATTTTCAAATACTGGCACATCTGTTATAATTTTGCATTTTTTTTTCTATGATAAAATCACAGCTTCATAGGTCTCTAAGATAAGGTCATTGCTCAACTCTAAAAAAAACACTTCTAACGTCCTCCCTTTTTAATCTTTGGCAAGCTGAACATCCTGGAGAGTCGTCTTTGATGTGCTCCTTAAAAACATCAAATGAAACGGACCAAAGCAGATCAGGGCGTTCATGGTTGCTGCATCATCACTTTATCAGCTACATGTACCTGGAACATAAGGGAAAGAGGGGAAGGGGGAAAAAGTTTGAATGAATTAAATCAGGAACGTGTGTCAGATTTTTCTGTTTTCTGCTCTGCATCAAATAAACCCCGTGGCCAGTGATTCATCTGTTTCTGCGACATTTCTTTAAGACGCTTGGCGGTACAGAGGCTCTGCTGGATTTCATTCATCACAGGAGGATGCGCACAGTCGTGCAAGAAAAGGAAAAAATAATCATGATCATCACGTTTATTCTGATAGTTGCTAGTAGTTTCTAATTTAGCAAACATAAAGCCCTTGAGTGTCCAATGAGTTAAAAGAGCATTTTGGTGAAATAGATTTGCTTTTCTTTCCTGAATCATTTGGAAAAGTGTATTGTGACGCAACACTGCCCAACACTTTATGAACAACATCCCCACCTGGTGGAAAGAGGCCTTAAAAAGCAGCACGTCCCGAGGCAATTTTATTTACCTCTATTAAAGCTAGATCCACCACATGCTGCGCAGCATTTCATTGATCCAAGTAAAACTGGTTTAGAGCCTCTAAACTGTTTTGTAAATCACTTTCCAAGACTTATTATTTGAGGGTGGACGTGAGGCCCCAGCATTAGGGATGATGCAATGTTTTGTTAGGGCAACAGCAGTAGCCAGAAACCTCTCGATTTTCACAGTCCATCTTCTCACCCATCTATTATGTTGCCAAGCAGCATTTTCTCTTCTGACCTCCAGCCTTGTTTCGAGACGAGGGGACAGACACGGAAAGTCATTATTCAGCCCAGAAACAAAGCGGGAAAAGTTCTCCTCATCCATCAAAGCAACTAAAGATATCTGACACTGTCCTGGGCACGGCGCAGATCAAAGAGGGAGATGCCAG